GGGGGAGGGGGGCACCCAGTCCATGGCCTGTGTTAATAGTGTTAATAACACACACAGACCCAGGCCTGGCCAGCGGATGTGGGATGACCTGCCAGTCCTGCTGGTGCCCAGAGGTGACCTCCCTCCACTGCTCACGCTGACTCCTCCTCCCACCCAACAAAACTTCAGCCTCTAATTGGCCCGACTTCCTATTTCAGTCTGATTTCAGTTTTGTGTGTAAACCCAAACTCGGCACGTTGGCGGTTGGTACCGTTCTCTGTACCTGCTGTCGGAGGCAGTGGAAGGTGGCTATGGGCTCTGCGGACTGGGGCACCACATCCTCGGCGTACAGGTGGATGTCGTCCTGGACACTCTGTGCTGGCCAGAACCCCACCACACCCCTGGCACGGAGTTTCTTCTGACTCATCAGGGCTCTCAACATATCTTGGGCATCGTCATAGACTTTTTTGGCCTCTTGACCTATTAGGAAAATATAGTAAGATGCACTTAACGCTGTCAGTAATTACAGCAAAGAATACTTCTTTTTACAACAACAACCGCCCTCTGCTCCCCGGCAGCTCCTCATCTCTTCACTCATCTCCCCTCAAATGCACCCTCAGCGTTTGTCATCAGCATGACTTTGGGTGGAGGAGCTGGGGACTGGGGGTGTCGCCTAAGTGCAGCTCCAACAGTCTGATTCCCAAACTCAAGCCACCTAAGTTTTTCCATTTACCAAAGGGCACAGGGGGCACCAGATCGATGGTCTGAGAGCAGACAGGTAGACCCCTGTCACAGATGTCCCCCATACGCAGTCCATGTCAGGGACTGCACAGTGAGCTCAGTGGGCATCACACAGTCTAAGAAGTGAAGTGTGACACCGAACCTGTTCAATAGCTCTGGCAAGCCTACCACCTGGCCTCAGTTCCCAGAGCTCCCAGACAGGTTCCATCTGCACCAGGGAATCCAGATGGCCCAATGAGCCCCTCAGCTTCCATCTCACCGCGGACCAGCAGAGTTCTGGGCTCGGGCTGTTGAGGACGTGGCCTGCCCAGCACTCTCCTACTCGCCTGTGGTTCTCAGGCAGCTAAGGGCAAGAATGCCTTTTCCCGAGAGAACAAACAAGATGGCGGATCAGGTGGACATGCAGTAAAGGAGCTCCGTCAGCAACAACACAGAATACCCGACCAAGCAGGCTCAGGGGATGGTCCCAGAACTCTGAACCACATATAAAGGAATATTTAGAAGGTTGGAAGGCTCACAGCTGGGGGAATTTGT